GGTTACGGGATTGGATGAAATGAAACACTAATACCGGTTTTCAGACTTTCTATTGCACTTAAGTTACAGCGTCCACGGAGTTAAGTTATCGGCGTTCCTCTCCAGCAGAGTCCGGCCGACTGACACAACTTTGCCGTTCACGCTGACTTAACTCACTTAACTGACTGCACTTCACTATTTCACTGCACTTCACTATTTCACTCACTTTTCTTCTTTTTCACTTCTTCCTTTTCTTCCGAATCGCTTTAGACTTAGAACTCAACTGCCTGCGGTGAGCCGCAGTTCCGCTTATATACCCCCGGTCAGGTTCTGGAACATTCAATTTCGTTATTCTTTTTGATCGTCATGCCTCCAGAACCTTCCAATAATTTCGTTATTCATTTTTATTTATTCTCCTTCTCGCTCTTTAATTTTTCATTTCTGTCACACAAATAATTCCAGAAAGTTCGACAAAACTTCCATCAACTAAAAAACTTCATGTTTACGGCGGGACTCGAACTCGGGGTCTCTGTGGTGTAATCCACACGCCTTACCGATTAGGCCAACTCGTGTTGACAATTCACGACGAAATTTACAATCTCTAGGCAACGTTTGACAACCATCCATTGACGTCATGACGTCAAAGAGTTTGAACCACTTTTCCGTCGCAATACTGTTAATTTAAAATGAGAAAATTAATATAAATACATATTTTAAAAAAGCTGCGTAAAATTTTGATGTTGACAAGTCCAGTGTTGCAAGATTATTTATTTATTATTATTAAAATGCCAATGTATTTAAGTTCAATTTCCCACATACCTAACTGGTATAGTGATTTGAGTGAGGTTGCCGTGTGGCTTTGTTTTACATGCAGGTTTTCATTATGTAATTAGTGTAACTAATAAACTGCTTAATTTATCTTATAAGTACAACAAGTATTTATTGAATTAATTTTTAACATTCTTGTAGTAATAAATCTTTTATAACATCGGCTGGGAAAATTTATTTTCTTTAGTTTGTCGCTTGGATTGACTGGACTTTTCTGCTTCGGCTTTTGTTGAATCTACTGTACTTAATGCAAAGATTTTGAAAGGTTGCGGCAGGCAGTTCCAAAATTTAAATTGTATTTCTAAGATACTTGTATCTCGTTTTAATATATTTATTTTGTTTGTAAGTCTAGCATTGTGAACAATTCAACTAGGCTAGCTATTGCGCTGCTAATAGCATTGTGCATAGAAGCAAGCGTGGAAAAAATTGACGTTGCGCTCAAAAATTCATCAACGCGCCAAACTATTAAAATGATTTGTCGCCTCACGAACAACGCTTGCTGCCATCAGTAAATCATTTTCACCGTCAGGCACAGGTTTAACAGAAGCTTTGTAGCTACCATTAATTTAGTAAACAATGTAATATGGATCCGACCACTAACAAATTGGTAACAATTGCTCTATCCAATAGCGATATTCATCAAAGTCCAGTGCTAAGCGTGGTCGCCGTGAATGATGGCTGACGTAATGTGATGTTCGATGGTGGAACGTGAGACAGGATTGATGACGTGATATTTAATGATGTGTGGGATTATTCTTGGAAAATGTTGAAAATTTTCCAATTTAACTTCGATTAAGCGTTCAGTCACTGCCTTCTAGGATTCGAATAGAAATATTATAAACGGTATCTATGAAATGATACATATGCTTCTCATGCATGAGGCTGCGGGTTCAAAACCTCTCAAATACCAATGTGACATTTTCCGAGTTACTTATATGTAATTTCTATGATTAGGGAAACATCGTGGGGAAACCTGAACTTATAATTTCTAAACGTGGTAATTAATGCTCAAACCTTCTCCGCGTAAGAAGAGGCCTTTGCTCAGCAGTGTAAACTTATGATGATGATGATGACGATCATCATCTATATGATGATGATGATGACGATCATCATCTATTAAATTATCATCATATCAACTGAATGGATACTTCACGCCAATAGACACTAACAGCTTACTTGCCTAACGTATCTACATCCTCTGTGTCCCCAAGTATGTAGACCTAAGAAAACATTTTCGGTATAGGTACCGCCTATAAATACTTCACCATTTATTATGAGTTTCAGTTCCAGGCATTGAGTTTATTGTTCTAAATTGTTAGTACAAAACCATATTTAACTATTTTCTTGTAAATTCAGTGTGTAGAGTGACCACATAATACACTAACCAGGATAAGTAATTTATAGGTATTTATATGTTCATCTATAGAATCTATGATTTTGTTATTTAGCAATTTATTTCGCTATAACTTATATATATATATTGATGGTAAAGTATGGGAGAGCCATGGTTCGGCATGATTGGGTCGGCTCGACAACGGCCTCACAGAAAACCAGCGTGAAACAACCACAGCGCTGTGTTTCGCCGTGTGAGTGAGGTTATCGGAGGCCCAATCCTTACCCATCCGCCAATCCCTTCTCATTTACAAAAATCGAAATTCCTAACCCAAAAGGTCGGCAATGCGTCGTAACTCCTCCGTCATTGCGGGTAGGTGTCCATTGGCGGCGCTGATTGCTTACCAACAGGTAATCCGTAAAGCGCCAGAGAGCAATGTCGACGTCAGTTGGAGGAACTAGACGTGTGCGTAAATAGTATTGGGTCTTCAACGAATAAAACTGCTAGTATTCATTAAAATTGTTTAATTTTAATATAATAAAAAAGCCGGTTGAAAAGTCTTAAAAAGTAGAACACAACTTCGTTGTTACACCCTATCTCGATGCATGGCCTCTGCCAATGCTTGCAATCCATTCACGATTGAAACTACAGATTGAGCAAAAATTTTATCATTCTCTAGACTTCTCTCCAGAAATGATTTCAAAATCTGTGCATATGATTTTTGAAAATTCTTCCAATTGATTTGAAATTGTCTGTTTTTCCACCCTCAGGAATCTCTCTGTGATGGTGGAGAATTCCGTTCGCCGTTGTAATGGTGGAGGGGCATCAACTGAAGATGTGTGAAGTGATGCTGAAAAGTGAACACCGATTTCTACGATGCATTGATAAAAACTCTTGAATAAATTGCTTTTTCGCTTTCGTTTATTCCAAAAATTAAGTTATTTCTTCAACTTCAGATAGCTTAACTTCAGTCCTGCGCCTAGCTGCTGAGCGTGCAGCAACTTTCTTTTTTATGGCGATTTTTTTCTCAGACCAGTACTAAAAGCAGACATTTAGTTACTGAAGCAGTTATTAAAATTAAATTCTTACTTTTTATTATTAATAGTCAATTTAAAATTAAAATAAGATATGAAATCAAGGAACACGCCAAGATTCATCGCTATTTTAAGTGGTTTGCATTAAGGAATATTCAAAAGGTTTTAACGTGTAAAATTAAGCACTACTTACTTCACCTTAGTCCACTCTGTTTATAAGTTTTGAATGTGCCACCTATACTATTTAGGCACACGGTTAGTTCCTCCTACTGGCGTCGACTTTGCTCTCTGGCACTTTTGAGTTCTGAAGAAACCCTTCGCCAGCCAGGCCACAGTTTCTTTCTATAAATTCTACCAGAGTTACAACCTGAGCCGACGACGGGTGTGAGGAACGTATATCATTCGGACTGAAACATTATTGTTTGATTAGAAAACAAAATAAACACTCTTTAATAATTATTATTTTTGAACTTTACAACCAGTAATATAAACTTAATTCATGATTATGTTAGTTGTTTAGAAAAAGTATACGAATAAACCAAACGTGGACAAAATAATACAAAGCAAACAACAAAGAGTTTATCAACAATAATGATATTATCTGTCTGTTTCTTTTTCGTAAAAATGTAGCACAGATTATATTCACCGCCCGAATAGTTTTCTGTTTATTTTTTACTTATAAGCTGTCTCAAATTCCTTAAAATAAGAATTTTTAATTCAAACGTCATAATATCTGAAATTCTATATCAAAATCTTGTTAAAAAAACTGATAAATGTCGACTTACATTTTGTTGAGTGTGGTAGACACTAGTATAGTATTGGTCGATTCGGAGCTCACTTCACTTTGCAAGTGCCTATGTGATGCTAACAGAATGCAAAATCAACGTCATTTTGTACCTTATGCGAAGTGATAGTGAATAGCGACTTGATATATTGACAAAAAATAGCTGTTTTGTTTTGTATCATAATTAGGTATATGGTTCATGATAGCTTAAGTATGTATGCAAGTTTTACAACACTTTTTAAGTCTTCTTCGTCGTGTTGACGATGCACAAGCTTTATGTTCTCATTTAAGACAAACAACACACCTAATCCACCCTTCGCCTTTATTTTCTTTGAAGAGTAGCTTTGAATACAGAAGAGGCATCGCTAGCACTCTCCTCTTCTGAGGATTCTGATTCGAGTACTTTTTTGCCTTTTGCCTTTACTGACTCCATTTTCGTTTCCAGCCACTTTTCAATACATTGTTATGATTGATCAATAGTCACCGTTTTGTTATTTATTGATTTTATTCCATTTTTCTTGGCTTCCTTTTCAAGAAAATTTAATAGGATTAGCCCCAATTGACTGTACTGTTACGTATAATATTATACTCTTATTCATCTTGTAGTCGCTTTATTTTTAACTATATCTAGTGTTAATTATTATGCTTTCGGCTTACTCACGTAAGAATTTGACGAGATACTCGACTAGTTTCAAGCCATGCTAGAGGCCCATATTCATGAGCAGCATTCCGCGACACGCTACTCGGCGACTTTCGCGTTGCTACTATATCTAGTGTTGATTTTACTTCCCTTGGTGTTACAATAACCAAGTATATGGACCAATAGCTAAGGGCCAATCTTGTAGAAGATTAGAGACGCTGAGGTGGTTTCTGGGAAAGACGAAGATTGTTCCGATGATTATGATGTTTAAAGAGATTTTCGAATTTTCATTGGAGCCGAAGTAATGAAGACAAGTGAGGTATTACAATAATGAAAGGATTCTTACATAACTTGTTAAAGTTTGTAGGCGTTCACTTTCTGGTTTACTCTCTTAAGACGTACCTAGGTCTGCACCGTTTCTGCTAATAGAGGACTTGGCATCACAGACATTGAAATTCCGGATTGGGATTCTGGTCGTGTCATTGTCAACATCCATATCAGTCGTTTCTGCTGTACCTGAAGTCCATATTAGTTAAAAAGTGTAGTTTGAATGGATATATTCCTGTTTCCAATTGAATTTATTCATATTATTTATACTCAATTCATTATGGCAATTTTAGCGATTTCTTTTGCACAAATAACTTCTCGACATTATAAAAACAAAAAATACTAATAAGGCAAAATGATTCTAGGTTCATTTTAAACATGCACACAAGGATCATTTTGTCCAAATTATAGAATTCCAAGATATCGATCAAAACATTAATCTCATGTGCCGTGTAAGATGATCAAACACTTTAAATATCACCTAAAACAGAAAATTTTCATAAGATCTATCGTGTCCTCATTTTGTTGTGAAAGGTTACGGAGTAGTAAGTAGTAAGTAGACGTATTATAATGTTAATTAGATAAATCATAAAATTCGGTCAGATTCCCTACAATGTGTTACAGATGAATCTGTTCGTTATTTGGAACATGTCTTTTGTCTCGGTTGCTAGTGGTGTGACCCTGCGTTTTGTCTTTCCAAACAATGCGACTACTTTTGTTTACATTCCGCTTTCACCTCCGCTACAAGAAACTGCAGTGTCTGTTTGCTTTTGTACAACGATTCCGAAGGGGCAAAGATGGCTGATTCTCGTTTTCTTTTTGTTTTTCAATTCTTTGGTGCAGGCGGGAAATTATTGTAAGGCTTTCAAGTGTTGAAATTGGAACAGAGATATTTTATTCCGAAAAAGGTAAGGCAGAGCAGCTGTTTTTATGGAAGAAGAAATAAGACAATATTATAAATGTTGTGCCTCTGTATTAAAATGATTATTTCATTTTTATATTAAAATGAATGACAGCAATAGTGAAGGTTTATTAATATGATAAGTTTTGCACATCAGGATATTTACTTGACTTCATTTTATTGAGTACAAGACGTGAATAACTGAATACCCATTCCTCAAGATCCCTTAATTCCTTAAAGGTCCTTTTATCTCCATATTTGCCAAAGCAAAATCCCAATTTACTAAGAAAGCGTACAAAAGGTCTCTTAAGGTTAGTAATTAAAACGATCCATTAATGGTAGCCTAACCTTCCTTAATGACCTCATTTGGTCATAAATAAATGGGGAGTAGATCTGTGGTGTGTCACAATGTCGATAAAATACGTATTTCTATTTATTACCCCTAATTAGTTTGGTTTTATCCGTCATGTGATGCGGCCGGCAATGTTCTTTCTATCTCAACCAGCAGTATCATTGTATAGGTTGCACACTTGGGTGCCTCTATATTTGTGTTCACAATGGTGATGTGTAAAAAATATTAATATGTATCTAGACATCGCGATTGGCGAAATCAATTTGGTTTTTCTATGTGATACAAATAAGCAAACGCTTTACCTGATAGAAAACAATCGGCGCCGCTTATTGTCCCAGTAACACCAAAGGAGTTACAAATGCATTGTCGGCATTTTGGGATTAATTGGCTTTCGAAGATTTAGGCATTGGGGAGGAATGTTGGGGGGAACAATTGTGCGGGGTTGATTTTATTTTGAGTTCATTTACAACGCAATACAATGACGCACTGTGTAGTTTCTAAATCAATAGGCAACAAAGTAAATATATACCAAAATGAAGGTGTTGTATAAGTAAAGGAAAACGCCTCACGTATTCCAATTTCCTGGGTAGAGACAATGTGTCAAGCGATGGGTTATTGTTCCTCCCTCTATTGCGATCTCACCTTTGATTCCTTTCTGTTTACTTGCTTGACAATTTTCTGTGCTGACACTTGTAATTGGTGACTCAGTCATGTCTTCTTTTTAGAAAAAAAGAAAATATTTTTTAAATTAAGATATTAGCATCGAAAAAGGACACTTTAATCTTAATACTCGACTGTAACTTAACAAAGTATTAAATTCATTAAAGTTAAATTAGTGTATGTTTTATAAAAAGACAGTATTTTTATAAAACACGAGGTTTTTCTTGAAATCTCTGCTGTTCGTATGTAGCACGTACTTTCTTGTTTAGTGTCCCTATGTTCTACTAGGTATCTATTCACACCTTAAAGAGGTCACGTTCCTCTCGATAGAGATGTGCCATAACTAGCGTTGAACCGTAGAGACTCCGGAGTTGGTCTATTAAGAGGTCCCGGTATCCCTTACGGGTATTGATGGATTGATGGTATTGTGGCCACTGGGGGTTTTAATGAGGTAGAAATCCCACAATTCCCACACTCCGTAGTCTATTTCCCCAAAAGCTAAGCGTCTTTTGAAGGTTTTCCCCCGGTAATAATAAAGGTATTACTCGCACCGAGACCCCGACGTAAACTCGAGCGTATGGCGCGTTGCGTTCCGCGCTCCTCCAAGAGCCAGTAGACCTCTATAGACGGGGCCATATCATCATCATATCATATAGGGCTGATGTCCAGCTGGGGTTGCGCGGCAAGCGCAATAGGGCGGCACTGCGACCTCGGCCTGTAGCAGGAAAAGAAGGAACGGGGGTTTTCAGTCAGTAAGAGTTCGACGCTCCCTGGTCATTTGATGATTTTATCCCTCTCAAAATGAGACGGGACAGGCCTGACCTCCTGGTGTCACACTTCATAATTATATTTTCGATATTAATTCTTAGTTTCTATTAAGCCCGAATCTCATCATCATCATCATCATCAGCCTATAAGTGCCCACTGCTGAGCAAAGGCCTCTTCACACACGGAGAAGGTTTGAGCATTAATCACCACGCTTGCTCAATGCGGGTTGGCGATTTTAAACTAATAATTAGAAATTATAAGTCCAGCTTTCCTCACGATGTTTATCTTCACCGTATGTCAGGGGTGTCTAAATAATCATAGAAAGTACATATAACTCGGAAAAAGTCACATTGGTATTTGCCGGGTTTCGAACCCACACCCTCATGCATGAGAAGCGGGCTTCTTAACCTCCGGGCCACCACGACTATTTAAGATAAGCCCGAATCTATTTTATTCTATTTCCTGAATCTGAACACTTTTACGGTGGCGAAAACCTTTATTAGCAATTTCAAACTTAGTACAAAACGCTACGCTTAAAGGAGAAGTATAACCTGCCAGCGGTGGAGGCTCCAAAGACAATACTAAGAAATACTGTTAGTAAAGGTTCGCATACTATTTCAGTATAGGTGGTCATACTTGCCCTCCAGGATTTTAGGCAAACTTTCTTCTGAGCTGTGCTTACGTTAGAAAGACAGATGGAAACTTTGACAAATGTGAAGATCCTTTAAGAAGTGGCAGCGAAAGTATTTTCACCAGCACTGGACTCTGTTATGGTTTCAGTGTCCGAAGACTATGAGTTCAGTGCCATTTTTACCGATCGCTGACACGTCATCCACGTCATTAATTAATGTTGTTGATATCTCTACCAAGTCCTTAAAACACCTAGGTACATCTCGTAAGTTTTCATGAGAATACTTATAAACTCTGTGAGATCGTTTATTTGTAGCGATCATTGTCTAAGATCTTAGTTATAACGAATGGTCCCTTAAACTTTCTAAGTAACTTAGTCTGATTACATTCGCTAGCCTTGATGAATAATCGCCTAGACACCCATCAGGTGTTGATGTGTTTGCGCGATACAAGTCGAGCTAATCATGCTATTGTGCTATTTCATTAAAGGTGGTCATACTTGCCCTCCAGGATTTTAGATAAACTTTCTTCTTTGTTTTACGTTTGAAAAAGACACGGAGGAATACAACATGGAAACCTTGACAAATAATTTCTAATTATTTTATGAAATTTCGATGTATATTTTATAAGTTTAAAACGTCAACCCGCCTTGAGCCAAGAGCTGATTAAAACTCATTCCTTTTTTGTGTCGAGAAGAGGCCTTTTCTCAGCCACTGCTGTTATTTACCGACTGAAGATGATTATGATGTCATGATACTAATATAATTGTCCTTTATTATTTGCATAAACACATACGTGTATTACCTTTTTCAATATTTCTTGAAAATAAAATAAAAACAATATAAAATTTATATCGAAAGCAACCTCCTGACAATACAAAATGTGTCTTGGCGTAACGTTTTCTGAGATCAAGCCCTTGATCCAGCTGTCAAACAAAAGCATCTTAAAATGTTAGTCGTGGCTCCTAGCTGTAAAGGCATTGGCTGACATGACTATCGATACAATGATCGTCGAATTCGATATACTTTATTCGATTATCTTTCTCGACCTTTATAAGGTTTTCTGGACAAACTTTCTTCTGCATGTCTTAAAGAGAATAGCAGCAGAATGGCTGAGGAATGACAGTGTTCAATTTTCATCGATGAAAAAATGGATCCCGCTGGTTTTTTTTTCTGAGGGCAAAAATTGACAAATGACTTCTCCCGGCCAGGGCGAAGCGGGAGGGAGTGTCAGTCTTACTGACTAAAAACCCCCCTGTTCCTTCTGCTTGACTAAAAACCCCCTGTTCCTTTTCCAGCTCTGGGCCGAGGTCGCGGTGCCTCGTTGCGCTTACCCCGCAACCGGGCAACCGGGCCCCGTTTGTGGTGGTCTATTGGCTCTTTGAGGCGCGCGCGGAACGCTACGCGCGTGCCTCAAAGAGTCGGGGTTGCGGGGTAAGCGCAATGAGGCACCGCGACCTCGGCCCAGAGCAGGAGAAGGATCAGGGGGGTTTTAGTCAGTAAGAGTCTGATACCGACTTTCGGGATCCCGCCCCGTACGATTATGGCTAGTTACCTTAAAATATTTTTTAAAGTACCTACCTATAAAATAGAGATAATTTAGTAGCAAAAATATGCTCCAACATATCTTGCTTTTAATTTTATTGTAATTGTTTCGTTTACAATTTTAAGGGATACTCTAACTCCACATGCCTCTATGAAAAAACAATAATTTTGCTTTAATATGCTCTAGTTTATAAACTTTAGGATGACTTGTTATTTTTAATACTATAAAATTTCAATATTTGTTTCTAAACGATTGAATAACATACACAATAACATTAATGTGGAAATAACATAAATAAATATTTTCAAAGTTGCTGATAGTCATGCATGCTGTTGAAGAATCCCCGTCTTAAACAATCTCGATCAATAACAATCCCGATACTGTTACCGACAAAGGTCCTCTACCTTTATTATTTATGACAAAATGCGACTATATTTCTTAGGTGTTGATAGTATGGATCGATTTAGCTTCACCTACCCTATCGCCAGCTGGGCATTGTCCGGCCATTAGTCTTTTCAATATGATCCTTGCTTTATTCTAGCCTGCACATGTTTTACTACAGCTTCTTTTATATTTTGCATTTTTCTCTCTAGGTTTTGGTTTTCTGCAGAGTATTATCGTCTTTCTAGACTCAAATTCGTCGTTAATTATCTCTGGTCTTTCTTTAATCAACGTTTTGGTGAGATCAAATACCTGAAACAGAGCCACCATTTATTTCCTCCCTCGGTTGACCCATACATACGTGCGCTTGATATTTTCATTTACATATATTACTATTTTTACTCGAATCCTTCTTGAAGCCAGTGAGCCTCGTGGTCTTAAGCCACATAATGAGCTACGATCTCCCCGATGGCGTTCAGATAGCAGACGAAATTTTTTTGTGGGGGGAAAGCTACTACTTATTCCTTCCCGGTAAGGCAAGAGGCTAGTGTCAAATTCTTACTTACTAACCACGCCCCCCTTTTTCTTCTTCTGCTTTACAGGTCAGCAGATCCTATGGGTTTTAGCAATTATTGTTCTTGTCAAAATATTGTTGCGACATATAAAAATGTAATGAACATGGTCACAAACAAAAGTGATATATTTTTGATTCCTTAAGAAACCTGTTACTGGTTACTTCATTTATAATGACATTTGTATTTGCAGTTGACGATAACCAGCGATGTAAATTTATATCGATGTCAAAGGATTTTTATCGCAGCATCCGCCCAATACAACCACGTAGTCGCCTTTTGTGAGTGTGCTTATTTCGGTATTCGGGTACTCTAAGATCATACTCAATACAGCACCAGGTTTTAAGTAAGATACCACGTTGTAATCAGATCCAAATAGGTTTTGTAAAATGGTGCGTTTCCTTATCGTAAATCCCTTTAGAACCGAATTTTCCAAGTTACTCAGAACCCTGTGTAAGTTGTTAATTCGCTGAACGTTTAGCGTCGCTAAGACCGTATTCTCCACCAGATGATGCACCCTGCATAAAGATGTGACATTTTCCAAGTTATATGTACTTTCTATGATTATTTAGATACCACTGTCATACGGTGAAGGTAAACATTGTGAGGAAACCTGGACTTATAATTTCTAATTATAAGTTTTATATCGCCAATCCGCCTTGAGCAAGCGTGGTGACGAATGAGAAGAGGCCTTTGGTTAGAAGTCAGTTATAGGCTGATGTATGATGATGTAATTTACATTTGTAAGTTGACATAGTTGCAGTATGAAATAACGTTGAAATGCATTTATTCAGATTGCTATGTGCTCGTATTATCCCTCATCAATCCACGAACACGGAGCATTGCAAACATGGCTATTTCTCATTTCCCAGTGACAAGTGAATGTTTGCTAAAGCATTTGCGGTGACTGGTCAAATAAATACAAACGATTTTCGACGACACAGTTCAAACAGAACATTGGAACGTTTGTTAAGGCTTTTAACGTCATTGTATGTATTTTATTGTACATGTGATCGTTTGATTTGATACATCATCATTTTAAATGTAGGAGGGCGATGCTTCGGCTCGAATAGCTCGGGTCGACCGGAGTGATACCACGGCCTAACAGGAAACCGGCGTGAAACAACCACAGCGTTGTTTCGCCGTGTGACTGAGG